TTGTTATAACAGATACCAGTGGTTGTGGAAATTAATCCGCTGGAGGTAAAGAAACTCCTGAAGCAGAGAGAAAAGAGAACTGATGGAGGGGAGTCCTGGAGAAGGTGAGAGAAATTGTTCTCTGCTAGGGGTAGAGCTATTTCATCCATTATAATAGGAGGTGAAAGGTGCGTGGATGGGAAAAGGCAAAGAGGTGAAAGGTGCATGGATGGGAATAGGAGAAGACTCCTGCCTGATGGTTTATATTTTCTCGATGAATACTTTTTGAAGTTCATGACCTGAGTCAGGGTAAGAGACATGAGAAGCTTGAGGGAAGAGGACTCAGTGTGAAATAGCAAACATCCGGGGAAATGGAGTAGAATTACCAGCGTCCTAAGCACCCTTTTAAAATCTGTGGTCATGAACTTAAAGTGAGACCAGTACACAATTTCCACCTGCTCTGTGCAGGAATGAAGTATTATGAATAGTTTAATTTAGCCACAGTTGGGGTTTTTGTCAGAGAAGCTGAATGAAAGGACAGAGGTGCAGTGTTTTCCAGGGAGTGATTATAATGATGGACCACAGAATCTAAGCCGGACAAGGAAACAAGGAGGGTATGTAAAGCAGGAATGAATTGTGTCCAGTGATAAAAATACTTTTTTTCTAATCTATTTTCAATATCCCCAAAATGTCACTAAATTGGATGTGAAAGGTGGTATCAGGTATGCAATTTTTATAGGGTGCTTCATCTGTGCAGGTGTAAAATGAGAAAGGCATTTTTAATATCAGATTTCTCTGACTTTTGAATCTGGAGATGGTTTACTGTCAATAACTGTGAAGGGTTTGAGAGTCTTGCTTTTTCTTTTTAGAGACAGTGTTTCACAGTGTCTCACTCTGTCTCCCAGGCTGGAGTGTAGTGGCATGATCATGGCTCACTGCAGCCATGACTCCGGGGCTCAAGCAATCCTCCCACCTCAGCCTCCCAAGTGGCTGGGACTATACGCATGCACCACCATGCCTGGTTGACTTTTTCATTTTTCATAGAGATGGAGTCTTGCTATGTTGCCCAGGCTGGTCTCGAACTGGGCTCAAGTGATCCTTGTGCCTCAGCCTCCAAAAGTGCTGGGATTATAGGCATGAGCCACTGTACACCTGGCCCTGAGATTCTTTTTTTTTGAGATGGAGTCTCACCCTGTTGCCAGGCTGGAGTGCATTGGTGCGATCTCAGCTCACTGCAACCTCCACCTCATGGGTTCAAGCATTCTTCTGCCTCAGCCTCCTGAGTAGCTGGGATTACAGGCACGTGCCACCACGTCTGGCTAATTTTGTATTTTTAGTAGAGATGGGGTTTCTCCATGTTGGTCAGGCTGGTCTCAAGCTCCCCACCTCAGGTGATCTGCCTGCCTCGCCCTCCCAAAGTGCTGGGATTACATGCGTGAGCCACTGCGCCTGGCCGAGAGTCTTAAGACTCTCAGTTAATCTCTTATTGTTTTGTGGATGTTGACAAAAGACACAAGACTTTTGGTTCAGAGATGAAGGACTGTATTACTCATGACACAGCAAGCAGCCTAAATATTAGCATATTTGTGTTGCTTTCCTTTCCCTCCAAGTCCCACAGAGGTGACAAGATGGGCGTAGTGAATGCTGCAGACACATTGGGCTTGTGTCACAGCTGAGGAACCAAAGGCCCATAACTTTTTGAGCAAGTAGCAAGCACTGTAGCAGGCAGCAAACAAGCCAGGCCTCCTCTGCCCAGAGAGTGAGCAGTTACACTGAAGTCATGCTGTGGTCACCTTGACCTACTTAGTTGTCTATGGGACTAGCTACAGAAATTGCTCAGAATTGGGAGACAGATGAGTCCCGTGGCCTGGCACACTCAGCAAGAATGTGCAAGACCACCCAGGGGTCATGGGGAGCTGCCTGTCCCCATAGTTTTAATACTTTGGAAAGGGGAAATAAATTATGAACAAACTTAATAGTTCTTATTTTAATAATTTACTCTAAACCACAAGACTTATTCCTTTATATGTATTTTTCAACATATATTTTCTTTTTTAAACTTAATCCCAAATATGAGTGTCAACATATATTTTCAAGACTATCCTTATAACTATGCCAGTAAAAATGTCCAAGCTTATTTCTGAAATGTTTAATAAGAAATATAAACAAAACCACATGATTATATATATGTGTGTGTGCATGTGTGTGTTTGTGTGTGTGTGTGTGTATATATATATACATACACACATATATACTGGTTTATTTCCATTATTTATTAAAATTGATCATTTCCTAAAGATGTTTGAGTACAGGGTAAACTACATTCTGATCCATTTTCCCATTTTTTTCCACTGGATTTTTTTCCTAAAACAAATATAATAGAGAAACTGAATGCAGATTAGTAACTAGATTGCATTGAAACTAGGAAGAATAGGAATGAGCTTCCTTTTTCTTTTGTTGAGACAGAGTCTCGCTCTGTTGCCCAGGCTGGAGTGCAGTGGCACAATCTCTGCAAACTACAAACTTTGCCTCCCAGGTTCAAGCAATTCTCCTGCCTCAGCCTCCTGAGTAGCTGGGATTACAGGTGGGCACCACCACATCCAGCGAATTTTTGTATTTTCAGTAGAGACGGGGTTTCACCATGTTGGTCAGGCTGGTCTCAAACTCCTGACCTCAGGTGATCTACCCGCCTCGGCCTCCCAAAGTGCTGGGATTACAGGCATGAGCCACCGCAGCCGGGTGAGTTTCCTTTCTTAATCAAAAAGCTTTCCGTCCTGTTAGAAGCACTTGAAAACCCTTACCATCAAAAAACAGCATGAAATTTTGAGTATCCCTTAAGGATTCTTTGACACTCCAAAGGAAAAAAAATCAGTGTGACTACATTTTTTTAGGTTTCCTCTGTCCTGAGTCTCCAGGGGGCTGACTGCTGATGAACTAACTTAGCTGCTTACCCTTAGAGCAAACGCGTTTGCTTAAAGCCTGGACATCAAAGAGAGTAGGGGAAGATGATCTTTAATTCAGCTGTCTTTAATTTTCTCTCGCTCTGTTGAAGTCTCACCAGGTTCTTTTCTTTCCTACACTGTGCCAGAAACACTCCCTGCTTAGGGACTTTGCGTTGGCTAGTCCTTCGGTAGGAAGCATGCTGCGTCCAGAGATCCTCAGCTCACTCCCTCTCTGCCTGCCGGCTTTTGCTTAAATGTCCCTCAAGGAAGCCTACCTAGACCACCCTACTTAAAATATCAACCAACCCCCCCCAACCCTTCCCCGGCACTCTTCATCTTTACCCTGCTTAATTTTTCCTTATAACGTATCTTCTAATATTCTATATCAATTTTATTTATGATGTGAACAGAGTATGCTTCTGTTTCTTGCTGAACCCGCAGTGCCTAAGATGTGTCTAGCACAAAGTAAGTTCTCAGTAAATATCTGAATGAATGAAAGAGTGAGCATATTCCTAATAAAAAAGAAAATGCAAACTTCAGAGCTGTTACTAAATTTTAAAACTGGAACACCTTAGTTAATTTCGTCATTGTTTCAGACAATAGATTTCAAACTTTTGGAAATGCCCTAAGGAGAGCCTAAATGCATTGCTATCTTATCTTCTTGCCATGCTCATTTAGCATCTCTAAAGTCCAGTGGTCCTGAAAATGAGCTCTTCAATTCAGGATATGCCAAATGATCCAAGAAAGAGCCAGGTGGATGAGTCCTGTGTTTTTGTTCAGAAACATAAAAGTGAAATATATTAAAAAAAAAAAAAGGGGGTAGAAGGGATTGTTTGGCATTAAGATAGGTGAAAATGGGAAAACAGGACCTGTCTGCATTATTGTTAAGACTGGGATAAACTGAATAGCACAGCACTATCTAAAGAATCTTCTGTGATTATGGAAATATTCTATATCTGTATAGTCCAATATGATAGCCACTAACCACAGGTGACTAATAATACTTGAATTGGGGCTAGTATGGTGGGAGAATTTATTTTTGAAGTTTATTTAATTTTAATTAAATAGCACATGTGGCTAGTGCTATTTAATGACACATATTGGGTAATGCAGGAATAGACTATGCCTCTGTTGTAAATTAGAGTGGGCGACATCTTTATGTCTCAGAGTGATCCAGCTATCATCACTCTACTCCTTTAACTTCACAATGTTTCCATTACTATTCAGGAAAACATTTCAAAAAATGTAAACGCAAAGACTTAGGCTAGGCAGACGGCATTTGGAAAGTGTCTCAATTGTAGGTGAGGTCTGAAATTTTAGTTTAACATAACCTCTTCATTACTAATTTTGTTGACTTTTCCAAAATGTAAAATATTCTCAAAACCATTCCTACTTCTGTAATACAATATGTAATTATTTTAATCCACATATCCACTCTTCTTATGTATATAAATGTTAACGTATAAAATTGCAGAACAGTCCAAAGTTCATGTAAATGAAAACTTGCTGGCACAGAAAAAATACAAATAATTATAGCCAGGCTTACCTTGTGTGAAGAGATGGGTGAGGGTGGGTAGGGGGAGCAGAGGTAGAACTTTAGCAAACTAACAGCAGGATGCATCTAACCTGTTAAGTGTGCCCACCAATAATGGAGACTCTTCAACTTTTAAAACGTGTCCTTTAGAGGAGGCTAGCTTGCCATATTCTGGCTTGTCTCATGAGTTAAGACAAATCACAGACAGAGGAGAATAATGAATTGAAGTCTACAGAATAAAGTGCTAATGTAATGGTTATGAAAGAGATCTCAGTCAATATTCTCTTTCTCTGTAATATTACATTTTGCAGGCACCTTGTGTGTGTATATAGAGCAATAGATACTAAATTGGTCAGCCACCTGGAATATATGTTAAATGACACTAGTAAAGTTGTTCTTATTACTAAAATTGATTGGATTCCATTACGTTTTAATGTCTCCCCAATTTAAATCTCTAGACTATGTAATACATCTTGTCAAACGCTCCTGACATATAGATACCTGCTGCACAAGGAAGAATGCCATACATTAATCAACGAGTCAACTTAGCAAATCATCATTTTAGATTTTATAATTTTTTTTTGGAATTTCACACAGAACACACGTTTCACTCTGTAACCTAAAAATGTTTATGGTAATTTAAACTAAATTCATGCCATTTTATAGAACACATAGTATTGCATACAGGCAATTTTCCACTATCTGTGCCCCTGGAAGAGGCAGAGCCACAGATGACTTAAAACAGAATTTTAAAGCTCTTTTAATGCTAATCCAAATCACTGGTATTTGACTTAAGATGCATTTTATTTTTTAACTTTTTCACTGCATTTTGCTTAGGCTTATATTAATTATTTTGTGGCCCAAAAGCTTGACAAATGTCAGGGCTAAGGGTGTCTGGAATTAAAAGTGGGAAATTAAATTACCGGTAATTGAAAGTTGACCATTTAAAATGTGCTTATAAACCCATCATCAGGAGGATTCTCTAAGAACTGTATACAAGAGGCTGCTGTTTCTTCAATGGATTTCGACCAGCCACCAAGATTTCCAGCAAAGTAAGGAAGGATGCTAGCAGAAATATGGTTAAAGTAAGATACCTGTTTCAAAAAGAAAGTACAATATTTTAATTTCTTATTGACTTGGAGCTTTTTCAAGCAAGGATCTGAGTCTTGCTGGTGTAGGGGAGACTAAGACCCTAATCTTCTGGGGTACCATCTGGAATAGATGATCTGAAAGGATGACCTTAGGATTCCCATAGTGTGGACACAAATTACAAGATTACAATTAATTAGGACATTGGGTAAATTAAGAGATTTTTCTCTATCTGGCAGAGCCAATTAATCACAGACGTTTCATCAAACTTACAATGCATGAGCTGCTGTCAATAGCATGGATGAGAAATCCGGCACATATGATTTCACTTCTGATGTACTGTGGAGACGGGGGCACCGACGGCAAAATGACCGACTTCACTGCCACTGTGTAAGTGTTACTGAAAGAAGACATTTTCTAAGCTCTTGTGAGAAATAAAGAATAGTTGTTAGAAAATAAATCCCTATAGTTAACCCAACTTATTTATACAGGTAGAAGTGAAACTATGAAGGCCCAGATCTTCTAGATGAGTGGTCTCATCAGAAAACACTCTCTAGGCTACATTCAAGGTAGGAAATAGTGTTTTCTGCCTTAGAATTGCATATACAATGCTTTGTGTAACTCCATGAAGCTGGAGTCAACCACCAACTGCAGTTTTATTGTGCCCCACAGGGTTGTAATTTCAGCCTCTTTTCCTTTTTAAATTAAAAAACAGGCCGGGCGCAGTGGCTCATGCCTGTAATCCCAGCACTTTGGGAGGCTGAGGCAGGAGAATCATTTGAACCCGGGAGACAGAGGTTGCAGTGAGCTGAGATTGTGCCATTGCACTCCAGCCTGGGCAACAAGAGCAAAACACCATCTAAAATAATAATAATAATAATAATAAAAACAATACCTATCGTTGTTAAAAGAAAAACTCTCAATAATAGAGAACCCTGTAGGCTACAAAATAAAAATCTTCCTCCAGTCCAATTGCACTCCCATGCTATACTCCACCCTAGAAGTGACCACTCTTAACATTTTATTGTATAAAAATAAATGTATAAGAATGACATTTATATAAGCAAATGCAAACAAAATTTTTTACATAAATATCATTTTACAAATATCGACTACAATTTGATTTTTCATCTAGCAATAAATCTTTGGAGGTGTTTCTCTATCAGTCCCATTATAGCTGCTTCATCCTTTTTAATGATGGTACAATACTTTGTAGTATGGATCTACCATAATTTATAAGATGGATTTTCCATTTGTTTCTAATATCTTTTGACATAATAAATGATGTGACACTGAACATCTGTTAATACTCACATGTGTGTGGGATTATTTGGGACACTTCCTCTTAGAAGCTAGCTGCCATGCTTTGAGCAGTTCAGTGTACATGGAAAAACCATGTCTGGGTCCTCTGATCAACAGGCCGGCTGACAGCCAGCCATGGTGGATGTCTAGCACAGTCAAGCCTTGCTGAATTCTAAACCAATTCCCGGTGTCTTATTTGGCTTTCACTGCATTTTTACTAATCATGGGATGTTTCAAAGGTTTACTGAATACCAGTTTTACATCTACATAGGAAAAGGAACTACTTTAGGATTCTTGCATTGTACTTTGCAAATAGCTGGCACTTAATAGATGACAGTTAATTTTTACAATAAGAGCTAAAGATTCATCTAGGTATAATTCAAATGAACATAATTCAAGAGCAGAAAGATCTACACAGACTTACTTATTTTCACATCAACTTTTTTTTTTTTTTTTTTTT